TGTACTCTGTAAAACTTGAAAGCGTAATAGAGCTGAAACAATATCATATTTACATCTGTGTTCTAATCTCGCAATCTTACTTTGATCATTAAACACTGATTCATTTCAGACTTGATTCATTGCTTCCTCAATTGGTATCAGAGCAGGAATCAAATCTCTGATCTGATATTCATCTTTTCAAAATTTTTAAATCAACTTTTTGGTTTAAGAAATTCCGCACTTTTTGAAAGTGAAAAACTCATTAGATCTAAGCCTATGATTCGATTATGCATTTGAGTCATTGAATCGAGTATTCTACTAGTGATTCTGGTTTGAATCATATAGTTTGTTGTCAAATTATCAAAGTTTCTTCAAAAATTCTCAAGGTTTTATTCCGTACATCAATGGCGTCTTTCAATCTTAATTCCATGACTTCATTTTCTCATCTTTTAGGATCATCCACCAAAATTCCTATGCTAATCCCTGAGTATTACGATCAATGGGCTGATCATATGCAGGATTATCTCAATGGATTGGATGAAGAACTGTGGAATTGCATTTCTGATAATCTCAATCCACCAACGAATATTTAACCAATTGGATCATCTTCTGGAAGTTGTGTAGTTGAGAATAAGTCTGATCGTCTGAAAAAGCTAGAGAAGAGATGCATGAGAGAGCTAAGCAGAGCTTTGCCTCCAGTTGTTTACAACTATGTTAGGAGTTGTACAACTACAAAGGAAATCTGGAACAATCTCAAGGAAAATTTTCAGGGGAGTGAGAAAACGAAAGTTAACTCTGTGAAGCAATGCTTAGTGGAACTGAAGGACTTCAGACAAAAAGATGGTGAAACGATTGAAATTTACTACGATCGTCTTAATGAATTAGTCTATCGATGCAATTGATATGAAATCACCAGATCAGCCATGGAGTTCAATTTAATTTTTGTTATGGGTCTTCGTAAGGAATGGCGTAGTATGAGCATGATGGTTAAGAATCAACAGAGCTTTGATACGTCAACTTTGAATGACTTGTACAATCAGTTCAAGTCTCATGAAAGTGGAGTGAATGAAATTGCTGAAGAATCGAAGGCAAGTTTGGGAGGTCCGCTAGCTTTGGTTTCAAAGATCTCTGAAAGGGAAGCTAAGAAAGATGTGTCAGATGAAGACGAAGGGTTCATCATGAACTTAGATGATGAGGCAATTGCTTTCTAATCAAACAATCGTGTAAAAAAGTTCTTCAAAAAGTCATTCAATCTGAAGGCAAAGTCATCTGAGACAAAAGGGAATTTTGTGAGTAAAAGTGTTGGGGGTGAGAAGAAGAAGGAAGAGAAGAAATATGTGAAGGTTGTTGAGGGAAAAACAGAGAAGAAGTTGAAGGGAGATGTAGGGATTGAATGTCGTTATTGCAATGGGTCTAATCATTTAGCTAATGATTGCATGCTAAGGAAGAGAGATGAGAAAAAGAATAAGACGAAGGATGAAGCGTATTATGTGGAAAAGTTGGAGGAGTTGCGTGCGAAGGCAAAGAATCTTTCATTAGTTGCTCATGGTGAACAAGAAGAAGATGGAACTTATCAAATTTGGTCATCTGGATCAGATGATGAGGAGATGCGAAATCCGACCCATGGATAAATGTATGCGAAGATGGAGGAAGAATTAGATGAGGAGGCATACGAAGTTCATGGTAGATGCTGCGTATCAAAAGCCGCTGACAAATCTCCGCTAACCACAAAGGTATGTAATATTCTTGAATCTTTCAATATTCCAGTTCATGCTTATAATTCTGAATTAGTATCTTTCGACGAAACTGTTACTTATTTTGATTCAATTGTGTTATCTGCTAGCAATGAGGCTAAGAAGTTGTATGTGCAGTTGCTAGAGACACAGAAGAAACTAGATTTGAAAATTACTAAGATGGATTGTTTAGAACTTCAAATAACTAATATCATGATTGATGGGGATAATTTGTTGAGTGAGTCTAAACTGTTATTAGCCCAAAGGAACATTTACTGTAATTCGGCTAAAAGATTGTATGGGAAATTAACTGAACTACATCATTCGTGTGAAATCAGTAAAGAGCAACATAGAAAATTGCTGCCATTTTTAGCTTATGAAAGAGCTACGATAGATAACATTTCGTATGACTGTGAAAGAGAAATAGCTGATTTTACCAAAATGTTCTGAATGATAAGTATAGATATGGAATAGTCAAAGTAGATGAATGTCTTGATTCAACTGAATTGGTTAATATTTTTAAATGACACTTCGACTAAGTCTGAACAAATTCACATTTTGAAAAAGACTGAAAATTCAGCATCTGATTATCAATCTAATTTTGCTGATATTGAGGATAATTCTGACAATATTAGTGAAATCAGTGATATTGAGGATGTTGATTGTTCTCAGTTGTCTATTATAAATGTTGCATCATCATTTAAAGGAAAAGAAAAAAGTAAGGATTTATTGGTTGAGATTGACATTGATCAACCCTCAACTTCGAAAGTTTGTGATATGGCCTTTGTGGAAGTCAAAGACAGCCAAACAGATGATAGTGATGATGAGAAAGAAGAGAAACAAATGAAGAAAAAGGAAGTAACCAAGGAAAAATAAATTCCTTGAATAGTTGTTAACCAAGTGTATGGAGATACACAAAAGTTCGAAAAAGTGTTGATTGAACTAGGTGCTCATTACCTAGAAGCGAATACGGTGGTTTACCCGATTTTCAAGTGTATTGATGATGTTGTCTTTCCAAACCTAGTCTTCGTAACAACTAGAAACATTAAAAATATCAAACCGGAATTCAAAACAACATGAAAACTTCGGAAGATGGGTTCTTTGCAAATCAAAGTACAACTGAAAACAATCTAACAAAAAATTCGTATGTTTTTCAAAGACAAAAATCAAAGAGAAAATGGATTGAAAAATCAAAATTTGAGAAAGAAGTCGTTAAACCAGTCATTGAGGAAATTAAAGATGAAGTAAAACTAAATTCAAAGGAATTCAAAGAACAAATTGTCAAATTTTCAAAAGAAAATAATGTTTCAAAAAGACAAGCACGAAAAAAAATATTTTGGCAAACAATTGAGTCTCGAAAAATGTCAACTGAATTATCAAAACCAGTTAAGTCTGTGAATTCAAATAATCATTCAGACAAAAAGAAAAATTCTAATCCTTAAAACAAAAATGTGTCTGAATCAAAGTCATCAAAATATATTTTCAAAGTGAAAAATTCATCTTTTTCAAATGTAAAACAAGTTTATCGTCCAAAAACTCATACGAAGTTTGAAGAGAAAACAAACCCAAAGTTTTCGAAAGAGTCAAAATCTAATATTTCAAGCAAGATTTCTGATAATTCATTGAATTCTCATTCAATAAAGTTTTTTACTCCTCGTCAACATTTTAAATCAAAAGTTGATACTTCCTATGCTGAATCATATGTTTCAAAACCAAAAATTGATTTTGTTCCTCAAAAGCCAAATTTTCGTAATCATACGAAGAAACAAACATTAAATGCTTCGCATGAAAAAGGCATTACTTCAAGGAAAAATATAGATCACTGGCTCGAAGGATGAGGAAAAGTTTATCAATCAAGCAAATACTCAGAAGAACAAATCAACGAAGCTTATGAAAAGTATGTCAATACTTCTTCAAATGGAAGTTCATCTACAAAAGATTCGAACATTTCCATCAAATCTTGGCAAAGACAGTTCAGTCACAAACTCAAAATGCGAAGGGTAAAGTCGGTGTACATCCGAAACCAACAAAATCTTATGTTTCGGTTCCTACAAATGATGATGTGGATATTATTAATAGTCTCACAACTAAAGTTTGTGATTGGGTCAAAAATTCTTCATTTACTTCCATGTTGAAATCTAATTTTCAAGGACCCAAAAAGCCATGGGTACCTAAATTCTTTCAATGATCGCAGGTACTATGTGACGAGCAATATGATAACAAATGGTATATTGATAGTGGTTGCTCTCATCACATGACTGGAAAGAAGGAGAATCTACGAGACTTTCGAAGCTTACAAAATGTGGAGTTGTTAAGTTTGGAAACAGTCAGAAGTGTCAGGTCAAAGGATATGGGAAGATTACAAATTGTCAATTTATTGTGAATCGAGTTGCTTATGTTGAAGGTCTGCAACATAACTTGATAAGTGTTTCACAACTAGTTGTGCGCACTGGCAATCAAGTTCTTTTCAATGAAGAAGGAAGCATTATTTCGAATGTCAATACAAAAGAAGTTCTGCTCAAATCAAAGAGGAAAGGTGATATGTTCACATTGGATATCAATCCAATTGTAGGCAAACCTATTGTATACATTCTTTCGAAAGCCACATCTGATCTAAGCTGGCTATGGCAACGAAGACTTTCACATCTCAACTTTAGAAACATCAACAAACTTCTTATTCAAAATCTGGTAAGAGGTTTACATGTGCTTAAATATGATAATGATTCTTTATGTGCACCTTGTGAGGTTGGCAAGCAACATAAACAAGGTCATCCGATAATAATTGACTAAAATATTATTGAACCTTTGGAACTATTACATATTGATTTATGTGGTCCTTCGACTGTTTCAACACCCAAAAACAAACGGTATATTTTACTTATTGTTGATGATTTTTCTAGATTCACATTGGTTTATTTTCTCAGACAAAAATCTGAAGTGGCACAAATCATGATTGATTTTATCGAGAAAATGGAAACAACATTGAAAAAGATTGTACGCAAAATCAAGAGTGATCATGGCACTGAATTTAAGAACAATGTTCTTGAAGTGGCACAAATCATAATTTTTCTTTTGCTACAAACTAATGAGAAGAAGTCAAAGAAGTAGAAGAAAACTGATGCTGGGTCTTCGGGTACCAAGGTTAAGCCAACCAGTTCTTTTTAAAGTCCGAAGCAGGTTTCTGTTATCGAAGCTGAGCCAATCCAATCGGAGCCTATTATTGCTGATACCCAGTTAACTGAAAAGGAAGTTATTCCTTCGAAGACTGGTGTATTTAGAAGAATCAAAATGAAATCGAATTCGAAGCGTAAGGGACGATCCTCTCTTACGAATATTGTTCGCAAACCTCATGTTTCACATCAAGGGGTAATTTTTCGTGAAGTACCTGGTCCTGCTTCACCGTTTTCGAAAAAGCGAATAGTTGCTGACATAACAAAACAAATCTCACAGAAGAAACAGCGTAGGGTGATTCTTTCATCAGAGTCTACTGCATATGAGGGTGAGATTATTCCCGAGACATCTGAGGAAGCTTTGATTAAAGATTCTTCTAAACTGGATACTTCTGTTAGTACACCACCCGAAGCTTCGATTGCCAAAATAGTTACTGTGGAGGCACGAACTTCAGACATCCCTGTAAACATATCTGAAATGGATACAAATGTCATCATGGGAGATGACGATTCGAATAAAGCAGCAAAAGGTAACCCTTTGAGTGTTGTTTCCGATTCTTCCATTTCTTTACCTCCACAGATTACTCTCATTGTTCCTATAACATCCACAACTGATTCTCCAACCTTTGCAAACATTCTTTCACAACCTTTCACAACTCTTTTTCCTTCACAATCAACTGATCCACCAACCACTACTTCTCCGATAAAAGATTCATTCATGGATACGGAAAATGAGTCTGAAGGTTTTGGAGGAACCTTTGAGAATCTAGAGTTTGATGATGAGGAAACAGACTTCCCAGATCATATGCTAATGACGATGAAACAGTTCAAAATCTTGAATACGAAGCTCAATTCGATTATTCAATCTCTAGTTGATCTTGGTGGAGTTCATTATGTATCAAATCTTGAAGTTGATGGCATGTTGTCCTTACTTGAAGGAAGATTAACCACAAAAGTCTCTGGAATGTTGAAATATTCAGAGTCTCGTTTGTTGGAGAAGATTGATCATTGCGATCAAAATAATGAATTACGAGTGAATTCTTAGAAGTCTGGATTTGCATCTGACTTGAAATCATTGAAGATGGTTGCAAAAGAGAGGCATGTGTTATTTGTTCAAGATGTAAAGAAGGTGAGAGAAGATGTAAACTTCAAACTTCAGGAACTACGCGAAGACATGGAGAAAAAATATCGGTTGTTCGAACTGAGTTTGATTCCATCAACAAAAAGGTGGATATTATTTATGAGGCAGTTACAAAATTTGCAAAGTTATACGAAAGTCTGAGCCCTCAGATTACTCAGCTTTTAACTAACGATAACAAGAATTTTTTGGAGGTGTTCGAACTCTTGAAGGAGCTTAAAAGTCTATCTTCAAAGCCTACTTTGTCTTTGCTATCTTTAGAAGATCTGATCCAAAAAAAATTCTAAATTTGAAGAATTACTTGTTCAACACCTATCCCCTTTGTCATGCATCTCCAGTCTTCTTCCAACTACTTATGCCCCACCTGCTAGCACAGGGGTGCAAGGGGGAGAAAACATATTTGCATGTTCAAAGACTGGAGGAGAGGATTCAAAAGTAGTGGGGAGGTTATTTTCTTCGAAAATCCGAACAACAAAACCGATAATGGCAACAGCTGGTCAAATCACTTCAACAGTTGTAACAACTGTGCCAATCACGAAACCGAAAGGAATTGTGATTGGTAAAACTGGAGACATTGGTGGAAGTGCTTCCAAGCCTAGAGATGATGTCGTTGAGTTGGTTCAGAATCAAAAGGTAAAGATATTCTGATTGAAAAATCCAAAGAGGAAAAGAAAGTAGAGGCAGAGGCTGAGGTTGAGAAAATGAGAATGATACAAAGTATTATGTAACGCCCGTAGATCCGGGCTAGTCAATTTAGAGGTAATAGGGGTCGAAAATGACTTTTCGACAATATATTATTTAGAATAAATAATCGTAACCAAGTTGTAGAATATTTCACAAGGTTTCCGTACATATAAAGAGCGTCGAAATTCGAGTTATAACGAAGAAGTTATGACCCGTTGAAGTTTCGTGACTGAATCTGCACGGCACTGGGAAGCGTAAATAGTGATTTTATGATGGAGGAATTTTTAGCCTTATTGATCGAAACGAAAGTCGTAGAATATGTTAAACCGAGAAAATCCATAAAAAGAACGCCCAAATCTGACTTCGTATGAAGAAGTTATGATTTTTCTAAGATTCGGCTTAGTAGTGCACGAACCGAAACTCGAATTTTAGTTCGAGCGGTTTTTGGCTTACATGACTTAAATAAGAGTTGAATATCTCATTAATAGGAAATTAACAGTAAAAAGACAGATGAAAACAGAGTCCGTATGAAGGAGTTACGAATTCTTCGCGGTCATTTAACAGTCTAAACGCCTAGTACTGTTAAATTTAAGATCGGTCGAGAATTAGCCGACGGAGTCAAAATGAAAGTTGTAGATATTATTTTTACCTAAGCGTGGATATAAATAATGTCAAAAACGGAGGTCGTATGTGAAAGTTACGGATTTTAGAAGTCGGAAGTGTGTTGTGCGAAAATAGGTGATGTGGCACAATCTTGGCCATTACTTTCTCCCCAAGTCTTGCCAGTAGATGGTGACATGTGACACCAAGTTCAGCCATTTTCACCCTATAAATAGAACCTCTCCCACCCCCATTTTCTTCACACATTTCTCCTTCTTTCTTCTCTTTACTCTCTCTCTATAACCTCTCTCTAGCCCCGAAATCCCCCTAAAAGCCTAGGGAACCTCCCTAGCACAAGGCGGAAACCCCTGAGTGCTCGACGGCTCCGAGAAGAAGAGATTTTCCGCACGGGAATTTTGCTCCAAGCAAAGCCTAGTTTTCTATAAAACCCACTGTAAGTGAGCTACGCCTACGCTATTTTTAATATAGTTTTTATTTAATTATATTAACGTTATTAAGAACATATAATAAGTAATTAGGCTATTATTATGGGTTATATAAGTATTATTTAACGGTTATATAATAGTAATAATAGCTAGACTATTAATTAGTCTCGGTGAATAATAGACTAAACTCTAGTGGTAATAATACTAGGTTTCGTCGAAGGAAATTATTTGTTTTCAAAAAGCGAAGCGCTATCTGAGTTCGGAATCACCACCTTTTCAAGTGAGTGCATGTCTTTCATCTTACACATAGATATAAAATATTTATATAAATTACGCATAGCATAGATATGAAGTATTTTATATAAATTACATGCTATGTGTGCATATTATCTGAGTACTTGTTGTCTATGCTAAATGAACGATTTTATACATGTTTTAAATGATTTAAACTGTATATGTATTTTATATCTACGATAATGTTGGGGTAAACATGGGTAGATATAATAGATGGAATATGAGTTGAATGATGAGTTGAGAGGTGTTATAGACCACGAGGTGAGGGTGAGAGGTGGACGATGTGAGAAGCCTTTTTCCCAAATGATGGCCCCGTCATTCAGCAGAGTATGGATGACAACCACAGACTATTCTAGACAGTCCAGTGGAACACTAGCAGGCTCGCAACCTGTAGGTGTTGTGAACGATGTGTTCACCCGGTGTACTCTAAACCCTGGTGATCATGCAGACTTGATGCCTAAACCCTGGTGATCATGCAGACTTGATGCCTAAACCTGGTGATCATGCAGACTTGATGCCTAAACCTTGGTGATCATGCAGACTTGATGCCTAAACCCTAGCGACTATGCAGACTTAGTGCCCGTTGTGTAAACCGTGGCAACGATGGACTTTGTGCCGATTCCTTAGGATGATCCTTAGGAATGAATGAACGAGGAATAGCTGATTCTTAGGGTAGATCCTTAAGATTAAAGAAGATAATGGGGATGGGTAATTGGGTTGATTGTTTGATTGTTTAAACATAATAATTATATTATTGTGGGTTGAAAACCCTATGTACTCACCAGGTTTCCCAACCTAACCCACTCAGTTTATTTATATCAAAGGTGTTGATATGAAGTCACATTACACAGAGAGATTAAAGAGATGTAGATCACTAGTGTAAATAAATGTAAGTTCTGTTTATGATTATGTTTATGTATTGACGATGACATCCAAACGTTTTAAAATGAATAAAATATGTTTCTTCGAAAATATTTTGATAATGTATTTATCATATTTTTCTGGGAACAAATTCCGCAACATTTTTATGAAAAGAAGTACTCTAATTTTTATAAAGCATAAACAAAATCGGTCTTTTCTGGCCGTGAAAATGGGGATGTCACATATTATGCCTCAAAGGGCCAGTGACCCTCCGGGCTTGAATAATGGTGATTTGAGAAAAAGCGCAAGCAGAGTTACATTGTCACAAATACATATGTAGGCTAGATGGATTTTCCTAAATATGAGATGATGTTTATCATGCCTCGATTTAAAGTTGAAAGCAAATTTAAGGAGAAGGATGAAGGAACACACATGAAGATCAAATTTCATGTTGTTCTTGCAAAGTTTCCTCCCACTCCCACTATTCAAGTATCACAAGACAAAGGACATGAAATCGAAGTGAGCTCTGCTCCCACCTTCGGATTTGATGATGCTGATCTGCAAGAGGTAAACAAACCTTCTCCTTCTGATGATGACCTTATGATGTTTGATGAAGAAGAAGAATCCAGTGGCTCTCATCATTCAACTTCAAATCCCAAGGAGAAGAAGAAAAAGAAGAAGAATACTCTCACTACGAAAGAATTTTTAAGTTTACAAGCAAAGGTTGATCAAATCCTTGTTGCGGTCAAGCCAACCCAACCGCAATCAGAAGATATCCCTAGACCGCAGTCGTTGATCGAACGAATTGAACACCTGCAAACACGTGAGATATTGGATGCTGAGCGTGTCTTACTGAAGTTTGAAATGGGAATCCGGTCCCTTGACAATAATCGACAGACAGATCACAAAGACTTCATGGCTGCTGCGGAACGCCTCATCTCTGAGGTAACCGCAATCAAGAAAGATCTTCAAGCAGTTGTTGCAGATCTAGCCTCCCACACTGAAAAGTTGATTGTTGAGACTCACACTGCCTATGAGTCCACAATCTCAGTCCTTCAAGATACAATCAACCGCCTGCAGCGATCCATGTCGACAAATTTCTATGGTCCCGAAATCCTTCATCTCACCAATGAAATTCACAAGATACTCCTCAATCCCACCATCCCCAACAATCAACAACTGGCCGAAGCCCACAAAGCTCAATTCCAAGAAGTTTTTGCTAAAGTTGATGGCGTTCTACAATGGCTTGAGGAGGCTCCTGGTCTGAACTCCTCAAGAGGGGGAAGTAAAGAATAATTCCATCACTCCAATCACTCCATCTCACAACATCAAACTCCCCCTATCTCTACAAAAAAGATACCTTCACCGCAACCATCTCATCATACTCCACCTCATAACTCTCCACCGCAAGAGGAAAACACTCCTAAGAAACCAAAGGCTCGCCCTCACTTCAAAAATCTTGCGGATCACATGTCTTCTCCTAGCTCAAATGACTCACCTGCCACCACCCAAAGGAAAAAAGATTGGAAGGCAGTCAAACTTGCTGAGCTCATATGGAGAGAATGTGGTTTTGATACTATCATGGATGAGTCCTTGATAAATTCTTGGATTAATCCTCACCGCAGACTGTTTGATGATGATTACACTCCTCACCTCACCTATGCGGAACCCCCTCTGGATGGCTATTGGGATGTCCCAATCTCTCCAAATGCTAGATACTTCACAGTATTTGAGCAGTTCGGCCGCAACCTTCCAGACTTCAAAAGACTGCCAATGGAATTTGAGAGACTTAGTCTTTTTTATGCTAAGCATGCCTCTACCATTAAGAATATGTCTAACGATAGACCATCCGCAGTCAAGAACTACAAAATCAGGAAGTTCATGAAGGTTGACTTCATCCAATACACTCTGACTAGAAGGGAACACGATTGTGTCCACACGCAAACTATCTTCCCTTATATGAATCTGGAAGAAGTCTTTCTCATTGCAAAGGTGTTCCAACACAAGTCTGAAAAGCACCCGAAAATGAAGATTGCACTTGAAAGGGCTAATACATTCTTGAAGGAAACAGTCTGTGATTTTGCTAAAATCGACGTAGAGATCTACCCCACCATTGCCAAGAAATTTAATCTACCACCACTTGAACCCGCACCAATGCCTGCCGAAGGCTATGAAGAAAGATCCTTAGGTGCAACCAACTACCCTGAACTTGGAGTCATTTTCAAAAGGAAGACCGATAATGTCAAATACTTCATTCCTATGACTACCATGCATCACCTCACCAGGAAGCAACTTGATATCTGCCAAAACGCAGTTGAAAAATCAAAGCACACTGCTACAGAAGTCAAGTTCGAGAGCTTATGAAGAATCATCTGGTTGGAGAACATCAGGAAGTTTTGGTGGATCCTGATCAAATTTCTTAAACTTGATAGCTGATCAAAAGTTAAAGAGGTCACTTTTTTTTTAACGGCATAAAGAGGTCACTTAGGGGGGAATTTTTAAATCATAAAAAGTAACCCTCTTGAACTTCAGCTACCGCAATCATCAAGCCCCCGCAGTCAAGCTTCTTCATCAGCAATCACTACCGCAGTCTCTACCTACCGCGGTCTCTTTACTAGATTACTTTATTTGTCTTTTTGTAATACTCTCTATTGTCCAGCATGCCTTGCATGGCTACTCTTAGAGATGTAATCTAGTGTACTTCATGATTCTCTATAAATAGAGCTCATTCTCTTGTATTAAAACAGACACGCATCTAACTCT